ATATTAAAGATAAATTGCAGGAGTATTCTAAACTGAAACTATGTGGTTTGGGAGAATCACAATGATTAAAATGAAAATATTACCAAAAATTACTTTTTTATTCAGGATGCTCCCAATTCAATAATAATAAAAAGATTTTAAGTACAGTGGTGCCTCGCATAGAGAGGTTAATCTGTTCCGGATTAACCTTCGCTATGTGAAAACTTCGTTAAATGGAAAGTAAAAAGCCATTGGAACGCATTAAATCGGCTGAAAACTCAACGTTTAGCGAGTTTCCTGGGTCCGGCAGCCATTCTCGCGCCCTCAATAAGCGAGGGGAGGGCACGAAGATGCTGCGCGCGGCCATTTCGGGTGTCCGGAAGCCATTTTGGAACCGCCGAACAGCTGATCCGCGGCGTCGCAAAGCGAAGATCGGTAAGCGAAAAACTTACTGATCTTCGCTATGTGAGTTTCGCCCACTGGGGCCGACGTGATGCCTTCACATTAGCGATCCCGGAAAAGGGATCGCTATGCGGATTCGTCGCTATACGAGGCGCTCGTTATGCGAGGCACCACTGTATTGGCAGGGATTCATTAATGGATTTTGTAACCAAGGTAAGAAATCAAGAATAAATAAAAGATATTGGTATAAGGCTCAGAAAATTGGAGGTTTAGGTATTCCTAATATAAAAATTATTATATAGCAAGTCAGTTAAGATTTATTGGAGATATTATATACAACAAAGGAAGGTTAATTTGGTGGGATATGGAATCCTTAGAAATTAATGGGAATATTGAAAAATATTTGTTTACTATAATAAAAATACAATAAATCAGGTGAACAACCCTTTTTAAAGAAACATGTGAAACATTTGGAACAGAAATAAAAAGAAGTTATGTCCCTTTACTTCAGCATTAAAATTAGTGACTGAAATAGAACATTTCCCAGCAAACTTTAAGAGTTTAGCTGATTTCATTAAGGACAAAAAGTTGCCAGATTGAAGGACTGGATGATTAAAATGAGATCGAAGGATCAGATTATAGTTAAACTAGGAAGGAGGAAGGAAAGGTGGGGGCAGCTCCAGATTACCACCAGGTGCAGGAAGCCGGTATGCTCCCTGCCCATCCCTGGCGCAGGCCTACTCATGAGTAAGGCCTGCCAAAGGCACAGGTCTACTCATGAATAAGGGTGGCAGAATGTGTGGGTCTACTCATGAGTAAGGCCCGCAGAAGGCACGGGTCTACCCACAGGCACAGGACTGTGCTGAAGTGCACAGCTGGGAGGGTCTCCTCTGTGGAGCGGCGGCGGTGTAGGAGGAGGCTCCCCGCCAGGAGTGAGTGCCATCGGAGGCTTCAGTCTGCCTGGTAAGGTGCTGCTTTTTCCTTTTTAGAAACTTCTTCATGGGTTTTGCAGGGTGGGCTTCAGCTCAGGGGGGGGTTATGTTTCTGTGCTGTGTTGTTTTCTGCAGTCCCAGCGTGGGGATTGCTCGATGTTTATTTTATTGCTCAAAGGAATTGATTTCCTATTTTATGACAAGTGCTAGAATATTAATAGCTAGATTCTGAAAATATAAAAATGATATTAAATTAGAAGATTGGTATAATGAAGTATGGGTCATTGCATTAAATGATAACTACTGAGCTTAAGATGAAAAGAGGGGAAATAAGTTCAAATATTTATTATGCTATTGGGGTAGATTTGTTGAATTTGTATTAGTGAAAGGAAAGGGGAAAGCCTCTAAACAACAATCAATACAGTTTTGGAAAGGAGGTTCGTAGCACTGTGGTTTAGATTGTATTAGTAAGTACAGTGGTGCCTCGCATAACGAGCACACCATTTAACGATGAATCCGCATAGCGATGCAGATGTTTCTTCGCATTGTGATGGGGGAACAGCTGTTCGGTGGTTCCAAAATGGCCGCCGGAACACCCAAAATGGCCGCCGGAACACCCAAAATGGCCGCCGGAACACCCAAAATGGCCGCCGGAACACCCAAAATGGCCGCCGGAACACCCAAAATGGCCGCCGGAACACCCAAAATGGCCGCCGGAACACCCAAAATGGCCGCCGGAACACCCAAAATGGCCGCCGGAACACCCAAAATGGCCGCCGGAACACCCAAAATGGCCGCCGGAACACCCAAAATGGCCGCCGGAACACCCAAAATGGCCGCCGGAACACCCAAAATGGCCGCCGGAACACCCAAAATGGCCGCCGGAACACCCAAAATGGCCGCCGGAACACCCAAAATGGCCGCCGGAACACCCAAAATGGCCGCCGGAACACCCAAAATGGCCGCCGGAACACCCAAAATGGCCGCCGGAACACCCAAAATGGCCGCCGGAACACCCAAAATGGCCGCCGGAACACCCAAAATGGCCGCCGGAACACCCAAAATGGCCGCCGGAACACCCAAAATGGCCGCCGGAACACCCAAAATGGCCGCCGGAACACCCAAAATGGCCACGGCCGGATGGGTAACATCGCAGAACGGTGAGTTTTGGGCCCATTTGGAACTTTGGGCTTTTCCGTTCCGTTTAGCGATGTTTCCCCATAGCGAAGGTTAATCCAGAACGGATTAACCTCGCTATGCAGGGCACCACTGTATTTTGTATTTTTGTATTTGTTTTGGAAATTTAAAAAAATAAATAAAGAAAAAAGAAATTACAATTGGCTACAATGTAAAGCAGTGAGTATATAGCTTGTATAATTGTAAATGTGCTGTCCCCTCAAAATAATGCAACACACAGCCATTAATGTCTGAACTGCTGGCAACAAACATCACTACTATTCCACCAAAATGTCATCTGCAGATTTGATAAGTATTCCCTGCAAAACTGTGGCTTTTCCATTTTATCTGGAAGCTGCTTCCCTTGGAGAAGTCAGGTCACAAATGAGTTTCCAATATGCCACCTGAATATAGCATAGCCTCTAGTTCCATCTAGTAGCCAGTCCTGGTAGTACACCTTGGGAAGGCGTATTCATGCAGGGTTTATAAAAAATTTATTTTATTATTTTCAGGCAGTGAATAAGCAAAATTGTGGGTACTGATTCCATGGATATGACAGTCCTACTGTACTGGGGAACAGCAGCCAGTGGCCAGTACGTAAAGGGAGCCATGAGTCAAAAAAGTCTGGAAACAACTGTCTATAGAGCAGACAAAAAACAAAAAAACCCACCTTGATTTGAATGTGCTTTCTTAAGATTTAGATAGGGCATATAGTCTATCTCTCATTAACTCACTATAATAATATTAAATAGTTTAGTTGAAATACTTAACTGATATTTCTATTCCAACTAGAAATATAAACTGCAGTAAACTGGAACCATTAACCACCTACATATCTTAATATTTTGGGCAGCCTTACCAGAGTCTTGTGAATTTAACACTTCTAAGGCATGCATCATGGCACTTGCAAAGACATTGGCATCTTCTTTGCTGCCAAAGTTGAGTCCATACACTTGTCTAGCATCCCGCCACTGGTGAAAAGTCTGTGTTGCTTGATTATATTTCAGTCCTTTTGGAATGGCACAATTTATTACCACCTAAACAAATAATAAAGTTACATTATTATGTAAGCATATTTTACAATATTTTAATATACAGGTGCATACTTTTCTCTCAAAGCATTTGACAGCATTGCATCTGATACTCTGCAAGTTACTTCCAGATATCTGCATAAGGTCCTATATTCACTGACTTCCCTAAACAATATTGTTATAATTGTTAACTATCGAAAATCCTCAGTATTGATTGATAAAATTAAGATGGGGAAAAAAGGATAAAGACTTAGTTTTCATAAAAGCAAAAAAATATAGAAGACTGATGAAACAAATAATTGACAAGATTCAAAAAAACTACATCTCCCAGATATCTGCATAAGGTCCTATATTCACTGACTTCCCTAAACAATATTGTTATAATTGTTAACTATCGAAAATCCTCAGTATTGATTGATAAAATTAAGATGGGGAAAAAAGGATAAAGACTTAGTTTTCATAAAAGCAAAAAAATATAGAAGACTGATGAAACAAATAATTGACAAGATTCAAAAAAACTACATATCTCATGTACAGTAGTGCCTCGCACAACGATGTTAGTTGGTTCCAAAAAATTCATCGCTGTGTGAAACCATCGTTCTGCGAAACACCATTTCCCATAGGAATGCACTGAAAACCAGTTAATCCGTTCCAATTGGAATGGATTGCCGTCCTTAAGCGAAAATCGCCATAGGAAACATCGTTGAGTGAAACCCGGTTCGCCAATTGAAATGCATTGAAGCCGACTCAATGTATTTCAATGGCTTTGCGAAGTCCTTTTTCGCTCCTGTAAAAGTGTCTTAAACTGTTAGAAACCTGTTTTAAATGCGTGCAATCGTTAGCCCACCTCCTGAACCCTATGCAACTTAATTTGGTGTTGTTCTGAGTCGTCGTTAATTTTTGGTGATTTTTTAAATTCTCCATTGAAAGCCTTTGAACGGTCATGCTCATACAGTATTACTTGCTTTTGGTGGGACAGATATTATTAGCTTTGTGACTGAACTGCATAGAAAACTCTAAAAATAAGCTCAATTTTCAGTAAGAAGTTGTAGAATGGGTAAATATGTTAGTCTATGCAAGCATTATAGGTAAAAGCAAAATATAAATATAATTCAAAAGTAAAAAACAACAATGAAATGTGAAAGCTCAATGTGAAAGCTCACAATGTGAAAGCTCACATTAAAAACATTAAAGTTAGTCTTCAAGGTGCCACCACATTTTGTCTTTTTTACTTTTGATTTTTATATTGCTTTTACCTATAATGCTTAAGTAAGAAAAATGTGGTAAAGGAAATGGTTTGGATCCGAGAGTACTGCCCTTTGGAATCTTTGGATCTAACCCACTTAAAATACAATTTTAATTGCTTCAACTCACCTGATGATCCTGAATTTTTCTACCAACTACTCGAAACGTATTGTTGCCTGTATGATGATATATATGAACTCTGCTGAACCCAGTAGACCCACCAGCTGGTACCCACTTCTTATTGGCATCATCATAGACCATTACGGCAGCTCGGGCTTGGCAGATACTCTGCTCACTGTTAAAACAAGGGGTGAAATTGTTAAAAGGAAGGCTCTTAAAACATTCAATATGCATTGCACCTTTCTAAGACAAAGGGAACAATATGGGATTTATTCCCACCCATATGTTCACATGCAGCCTCTTTAGAAGTATCAGTATTTTGAAAGAGTTCATAGCCTAATTTATGTATCTGAATGGGCAGGGAAAAAGGAGAACTAAGCAGACTAAAATTATTATCTTTTGTAAAGTTCACCACTCTATAACCTGTATACTTAGTTAATATAACTTAGATTTATTAGAAATCCCAAAGTGATTAACATAAAGATGCAAAAAGCAAAAACAAAAAAAAAAAATACAAAGAAGTCAAACAAGTTTACTAAGACTGCCCATACCTGCAAGTAGGTACGTCAATACAGCAGGAATAAAAACATCTCATCCAATAAAGAATAATTTAAAAACACCACTGTGGCGGTCACCCCACTTCACTCCTATCAATCACATTCAGGGTCTCATTTACATGAGCCTATGAGAGGAGTGGAGGGGCGGAGTCACCAGAGAAAGAAGTGGCTGGGCAAGAGAGAGAGAAAGAGAATCGTGGATGGTTGTTGAGAGTGGTGGAGAGAAATTGCAGAGAGAGAGAGAGAGAGAGAGAGTAATAAGAGATAATTAAGAGTAATAAGCTAGTTAAGATCAATAAATATAGTAGGTGGTGACTGTTCATGTGGAAAGTATCTGACACTTAAATGGGTTGATTATATGAATTAAATAAAGAACATCTGTGATCCTGAGCAACTTTAATACACCTTAATAAATAAATAATAAATCACTTTTGTTGTCAGTAATCAGACAAGTGTTTTTCTACAGTTCTTGGTATTGTGGATAAAAGAAAATCCACTGGTGGCAGCGATAAAAAGAAGAACCGTCGCAAGTGGTCAGAAGGTGTAGCGTGAACTCTTTGTGCAGTGAAGCAGGCAGAAGCCATGAAGAAAACCTCACAGCCACACATACTAGACAACTAAACTATACCCAAGAGAAGAGAAATGTCTTCAGCTGGTCCAGAAAAATAACAAAGTTAGCATGAGGTAATCTCTCCTGGGTCAAGCAGACCAGTATCTCAAGAGGCTATAACAGGCACCACTTATCTTGGCACTACTTTGAACAAGTGCCAGAAAGGGCATGAAGAGGAAGGACACAAATACTGACTCAATGTTCAGGGAGTTTCAAAGGGGAAAATACAGTCCTTAAGGCACTGGGATCCCCAGCCACAGCTTTGTAACTTGATCAGTGCCATGAACTGGGTTTAGAAACAGACTGGTGGCCAGTATAAGCATCCCAGAACTGCAGCTATACATTCAAAATTCAATTTTCCAGTCAACATTGTGTTGTCCACATTATTATTCTGTGATAAATCATGTTCAAAAATGGGCCAAGGTAAAAAGAAATAATAATTAGTGCTGTACAGTTGAGTTCACTCTTTGTCAAACCTCTAAGCATATTCAGAAGTGGCTTACCAGCCCCTACTTCTGGTGATGTTTTTGACCATACAGCTTGCTCAAGGCTTCACAGGCTAATTCCTCTCCGAGAAGGAGTGGTGGGAAGATCAAACTCTCAACTCCTCTGTCAAACCATGAACCTATACAGCCAGTAGTCCAAAGTAAAGCTCTTTAGAATTTGGAGAGCACAGCTCAGCAAAGACAGATTATCCCTATCCATAAAAAGTTGCAGCTAGTCTACTACCAGACACATTTAAAAAATACTCCCAAACTACATACTTAATATTTCAGGAGGAGCATGACCCCATTCACATCTGTCACCGTCTGAACTATGGAACTACACAATGTTGGTTTTTTTACATGAATCAAGCTTTACTTTACATATTATTATTGAGTCTATTACTATTATTACTATACTGTACTCATATGGCCATGAAGCAGAAGAACCATGGAACTGTGAACTGAAGCCAGAAATATTATTAGGGAACAATGCAAAAAGATAGTTCCTGTAATAATAAAACCTAGATGCATGATAGAAAAAATACAGTACTTAAAAGTCAAACAGATTGACAGAACGACCAGCGCTAATGGCAAAAAAATTATACTGGCACAAAGACAAGCTCATAGAAATTCATATAAAATTGACTGATTTGGAGGATAGAGGATGGAGGAAATTAAGTGGATTTCCAGAAGGTGGAGCTGAAGACTAAGAGATTTTTCTGGAAAGCACAGGCAAAAAGTATGAATGAAAAAGGGACAATAAACAAAATTTGTAGGATATTATTGGAAGTTGAAGATCAACTTTGTGGGAATATGTTTGGGGGGAAGAAATAAGTATCAGTGTTTGCAAAAACATATGGAATATTACAATATTGAAATCTATGTCAGTAAAGATAAAAGAAAAATACATAAATTAGTTTGGAGATGGTAGTTAACTGAAGAGAAACTAAATCAAATAAATGCTAATTTTCCATTATATGTGCTAGAGAGGGTGCAAAATAGCAAGTACTTATTTTTATATGTGGTGAGAATGTGAGACTACATAAAAATTATGCTAATTATTAAAACAGTGCTTTTATCAATATTTGAAAAAGAAAAATGTAATCGGACAACTAAAGAATTTATTTCCAACCTGTTAATAGTGGTGAAATTGATAACAGCTACAGCTAAAAATAGGGACGTGGTGGCACTGCAGGTTAAACCGCAGAAGCCTCTGTGTTGCAAGGTCAGAAGACCAAGCAGTCGTAAGATCGAATCCATGTGACGGAGTCACTTGTCCCAGTTCCTGCCAACCTAGCAGTTCTAAAGCATGTAAATGCAAGTAGATAAATAGGTACCACCACGGTGGGAAGGTAACGGCGTTCCTGTCTAGTTGCACTGGCCACGTGACCATGGAAACTGTCTATGGACAAATGCTGGCTCTACGGCTTGGAGACAGGGATGAGCACCACACCCTATAGTCGGACACAACTGAACTAAATGTCAAGGGGAACCTTTTCCTTTACAGCAAAAAATGAGAAAATAAGCTATAATTTCCAATTAAATGACTGGTACAGGAAATTTTGGGATATAATTATTGATAACATTAAAAAGGGGGGAGCTAAGTATGGATAACTTTACAGATAGCTGGGCAGAATTTATTGATTTTGCATTAATAATACGGAAGGGACAAGAACCTTACAAAAACATTACAGTTTTGGAAGGACATCAAGGCTCCATGGAGGTAAATGGTTACAACTCCCAGTTGGTTCCCAGATATATGGGGAAACATTAGGTTTAGTAGATGTTTGCTAATTGTTTATTTGAGAATTTTGTTTATGTTAATATTTTTATTTTAAAAAGTAAAAAAGGTTTGTCTCTTCTCTGTTTTATTAAACATTTCATATGTGTTTAATTTAATACATGTACACATATATTTAGAAATCCAGATGTAATGTAGTGTAACAGCAGTGTATACATTCTAAACAGATAAACAGAACTAGAGTGCTGCAATTCCTTGCAATCTGATTCCTCAGTGACTTTCCAATATCATCTTCCCACTAATATTCCTCAAAAGGAATGATTCTACCATTCCTCCTGCAAATGAAAAAAGAAGTTACCATACAGCTCAACCAGTGAGAAATCCAAATACACCAAAGCCCAGACAACAAACTTCTGAGCTTTCAGCACTTGTGCACAGCTGTTTGCAATCCTGATAAGTCAATTCTGCAACCTCTGAACTAATTCAAACATTATGGCATCCTTGTAAAGAACACTAAAATCTTATATGCATGCACGCACAGACACACTTTTTCTTCCCCATTTCTGGCAGCTATCTAGAAAAGTAGAATAGGTATGAGTTAAGTGCTGGAGGTATGGTGGGTTAGATGGTAATTTTTTTCTTCCTGTAGTCATTGCATTAAAATGTAATAAAATCTACTAAAGATAAATTAAAGCTGTATAAATTTACACATTCAATTACATTTTGCTCTGAGATATGAGCAATTTATTCTTTGAAGTATATGCAAGTGCTGTACCGCTGATTTGAGCAACCGCTGGAAATACAACAGGTAGAAATACTAATTTATTACACTCATTTAGTTGTTTTAACAAACTTTATTCTGGAGGTGCAAAAGACATCCTAAACTAAATAATTTCTATTCCAGTTGGTCATTCCAATGACTATTCCTGGCACACAAGAACTCACCTAGAAGTGCTATTTCTCAAACTTGAATTGAACTGAACTCTTCCTCAGGTCTTCTGTGAATTTGCTTTTCTATACTGGGATATTGTCTCTTTCATATTTCTATTTCTCTTCCACCCAAACATGCACAAATATTTGCCTACTCAGAAATAATATACAGGCAGCAAGTCCACAAAGCTTACGCCAAATAAAACTTGCTAGTCTTTAAAGACTCATAAGGTACTACTTGTCTCCCTGTTGAATTCACATCTTAACTTGATTCAGGTGTTTGAGTGTGTTAGGAAGGCTAATAGGAATGCTATGAGGAAGCTGGAATCCAAGCAGGGCCACCCAGGGAAGACTGGTTAAAGTTCAGACACAGATGCATCCACTCTTGTCAGAATTGGCAGTCATATCAACAGAAGAGAATGGATACTCTTGGAGAAACTCCTGAAGGGCAGGCTACTAGGTGGCGGCAGCAGCAACAACGGAAAGTACCAGTGTCAAAGACCTTTCACAAACAATGGCAGTACTGCACAGAAGTCTTATGATGAGACAATCTAAAAGAAAGAATAGATAATGCTGGACGAGGAGATTCCCAAGTTGGAAGGCACTGAGCTATTGGGGGAGAGCAAAGGATAACTATGAATAGCATTGTGCTTTATAGAGTACACAGTACAGCAAAACTTTTGACTGTGTAGATCATGAGAAGTTACTGTTCTGAACAAAAAGGGTGCACCCCAGAACTTTATTGTCCTTATGTGTAATCTGTATTATCAACAAGAAACCACTGTTAGGGCTTAATAAGAATAAACAGAATAGCTGCCCATAGAAAAAGGTGTCAAGACAAGGGTATACAGT